GACCACTTAGAATCCAGTGTAAGATTAGCAGTTAGTGGTAATATACCGAGGTATTCAAGATTGGGGCAGATAATACGAAGACTAAGTCGTCTATTGAGATTAGATTTCAAAACTAGTTTTAAGGAAAAATTACTTAATTTGTGATGTATTGTGAATTGTTTGAAAATGCATCATTTGATATTAAATTTATGGGTATAATTATGTTTGTATTTTGGGTTTTACTTAAAACGTAGTTTTAAAAGAGTAAGTTTTTTTGCTGTAGTTTTGTAGGTAAGTACACATATTCTGTATTTATTATTGTTGTAATACAAATATTTGTGTTGAGATTTTTTTTTTGCTTATCACACCTACGTCACATGGTGGACCTCGACACCTTGAAAAATTAAAAGTAGACCGTTCCGTGTAAAAGTCTGCCCACCCCTGAAATACAGAATATTTTTGCCTATTATATGTACACTTATCATGGAACAAAATTATTACGATTCCGAGATCATACATCCGATTTTTTCATATAATATCTAAAATATTGCTATAAACTGCATACATAACCTATAATTCTTTTTATTGACATAGCATAATGCGATGATGCGTAACATATCTGATAAAACAGAGTTCATCAATTGCCATTGACAATCAAAAATGATAATATAGCATGCATTTCTATCACATTAACGATAATATGAATTTTTGGTTTGTTATACACTGCTGGACAATTGCTAAGGACGGATCACAAATTGCTATGTAGCATAACATTAAGCAAGACATGAGGCCTAGTAGGATAAAATATAGTTGCCACACTGTTCAGACATTAGAATAAAGAATATTTATTGTTCTGGAAAGTACAAAAGCTGTGAAACATCTGAAAGAAAAAAAATGTTCATTTGATCTGCGTACGAAGAAATGGAACAATGCATCTAAAAGTCAGCAGGCACCTTAAAGAAAGGTATCAGTACGAGATATGTCCACCGTGGAGTGTGATGCAACATTCCACACGTCGTACCATACTTTGCACAACATTATCCAGCAGCTGTTGAGGCAATTTATACCATTCCTCTGTGAGTGTACGGATGAGGGTGTTCTTGTTTGTCGGAGGATAGTTTCGACCAGCAACTTGCCTCCCCAAAGCATCCCATACATTTTCAATGGGGTTTAGATCTGGAGAACGCGCTGGCCATACGAGACGTTGAATACCCTCGCTGTCTAGACAATCCTGAACAGCGAGTGTTCGATGACATGTTGCGTTGTCGTCCATAAAAACAAATTTATCACCGACAGCACCACGGAAAAGACGAACTTGAGGAAGTAGAACTTCATCAATGTATTGTTGGCCCGTCATAGTCCCAGTCGCAACCACATGTAGGCGCGTGCGGCCATTGATCATGATGCCGGCCCACACCATGATACTGCATGTCGGATATCGGTCCTTTTCCTGGATATTTTCTGGACGATAAGCAGTACCACTCTCGCGCCAGATCAGTTGGCGTCTACAATCCGATGACAGATTGAACCTACTCTCATCTGAGAATAGTACGCATGCCCAGTCCTGTTCAGTCCAATTGTGATGCTCACGACACCATTGCAAATGGGCAGTACGGTGCTGTCTGGTCAATCGGACACACACAACAGGTCCGCGTGCGTATAGTCCTCCTCCCCTCAAACGTCTGGCAACAGTTTTTCGGGAGATCTGCTTTCCTGAGGCAGCAAGAAACTGATTTGCCACCTACTGAGCTGTGGTGCGCCTGTTCCTTTTTGCTGATAAGACGATATATCTGTCTTCTGCAGACGTCGTACTTCTAACACGACCTCCCCCGTGCCGTCTACTACACATTCCAGTAGTTCTAAATGACTTGCACAGCCGTGAAACAACGCTGTGAGCGATGTCGAACTCCCTGGCAACATCTGTTATTTTTCGCCCTTCTTCGATCTTTCCAATAATTCGGCCACGCATAAAATCATCTATGTGATGTCGGGAAGACATGCCAAAAATTTTAAGTTCGTCTATTAAATCTTTCCTGTAAAACTTTGACTTGAAACAACAACTGTCCACACGCGTCAAAACCTTTAAAGCTCTTATGAACGCTATCACGTGATGAACAGACGTGGGAAAAAATTTGCATACTCATACTTCTTCTTACTAATATCCCGCACTTATTCTAATTTTCCACATTTTGCTTCCTTTCATTTTGTGGTTGCTATGGATGATAGTGTTATCCGTCCTTAGCAATTGTCCAGCAGTGTATATCATCTAGCAATATTTAAGTCTTTTATTTACAGATTTGTGTTGTTGAAATGGAAGATTGTGTTACAAGCTTCATCGTACAAGATTAATACTTTGTAATTTTGACTCAGGAAAATTGAAAACTGTATCCTCAAAATAAACATGATGCAGTGAAATACGTTTTCAACGCGAAAACGCTTAAGACGAACTATCGGTTAACACGAATTAATACAACGGTCCCGATAAACTACTTTGTATATATTTTCTCTTTTTTTAATTTTTTCTCTCTAATAACGAAACAAAACTCGCTTATCACGAAAAGATTGCCTTTCTGGGAATGAACAAAGTACGGAAAACACCAGTCGCGTAGGCGGGATTTAAGAGGAGTGTGAAAAGAAAGACAGGTGGTTTCGCATGTTTCGAATAAGGGGCTTGAATCCCTTCGGAATAGCCTGTGACACGAGCAAATTTTATTTATCTGAGCTACTTTCGCCCTCCAATCCTAAAAGCGCCTCATAAAAACATCTACTCTCTCATCAGTTGGTTTTGGAATTTGGTGACGAATACATTGCAGTGTGAGTAAAAATCAGCGAGTTTGGTTCATGTTTTTCCCCCTCTTTTAGAAGAATAATTTTTACGAGCACAATGAAAAGGATCTCAGGGGGAAAACAAAGTGCTACTTCGATTGAAATAAAGATGGAGCTTATTAAGGTTGTCAATCAAAAACAAAAGACGCAACGGAAATCTGTAAAGGTTTTGGTATTGCTCAACATGATCAATAATAATTTAAAAAAGGGCAAATTATACGGAAATGTTTTAACATACCTATATCAATAAAATATACACTAACAAACTTAATTTTGTTGAAAATATAGGTTTTTTTCCCCCTTCCTACATTTTTTAACGCGAAAAAAATATTTCAGTACCCCTCATGGATTTTCCCTGTATGGATTTCTTTGAATGAATTATAAAGGGTGTTTTTCTTAGAGGTATAGAACTTTAAATTGCAATAAAACAACTATGTATTATTCGATTGACATGAATTTTTTTTTATTCGAAAGATAATCTGGTGGCATTACATTTTAAATATGATCAAGCAAGGCGTAGATTCGTCGAATGGGCCCAAAACGAGATAGCCGTTGTTCCCGATTTTCATAAGCGAATTTTGTTTAGCGATGAAGCGCACTTCTGGTTGAATGGCTACGTCAACAAACAAAACTGCCGCATTTGGAGTGAAGCTAATCCACAAGTGTATGTCGAAACACGTTACATCCAGAAAAACTGACTGTTTGGTGCGCTTTATGGGCTGGTGGAAATCCGTACTTCTTCAAAAACGATGAAGACCACAACGTTACAGTCAATGGTGATCGGTATAGAGCCATGATTACTCACTTTTTCATTCCTGAATTGAACAATCATGATGTCCAGGAGCTGTGGTTCCAACAAGACGGTGCAACGTGTCACACAGCTCGTGCCACAATCGATTTATTGAAAGACACGTTTGGTGACCGCCTAATTTCACGTTTTGGACCTGTGAATTGGCCTCCAAGATCTTGTGATTTAACACCGCTAGACTATTTTCTGTGGGGCTATGTAAAGTCATTGGTCTATGCGGATAAGCCACAAACGCTTGACCATTTAGAAGACAACATTCGCCGTGTTATTGCCGATATACGGAAAAAAAAGTTGGAAAAAGTCATCGAAAATTGGACATCCAGATTGGACTACATCCGAGCCAGCCATGGCAGTCCTATGCCAGAAATCATATTTAAAATGTAATGCCACAACATTGTCTTTCGAATAAAAAAAATTCATGTCAATCGAATAATACATCGTTGTTTTATTGCAATTTAAAGTTCTATACCTCTCAAAAAAACACCCTATAATTGAATAGATTCACTCATTTTAAGTGTTTTGATCAAAGAGATTTAGTCAAATTGTCACAGTCAGGAACTCACCGAGTTATTTCTGTCGAATCAAAAGTTCTATTCCTGAGGGCACTGAAGATCTGCATTATAGAGGAGGCCGCGGTAGCCTAGTGGTCAAGGTAACGGAATCGTGGCCGGCGTGTCATGAGCTCGAGCCTAGTACCGCTGAAGACCCACCGTGTAGGGGAGCGAAGCACGTTAAATATGTCGAGAGGTCACACATCCTCCCGTTGGTGAGTTGTGATATTAAGAAGAGGGGTGCCAGCTCAGGTGTCCTCCCTGTCACTTGACTCGGGTTCAAAATTACGAGGTCCGTCGCCAAAAGCCCTATATCGACGTTAATATTCACTCACTCACGCCAATAGCTCTCGCGTACTTAAAGTATAGTACTTAAGACAGTTATTCTCCCTAGAGAAATGTGATAATCTTATGAGCAGAGCCCGATCCTATTAAAAAGTCATTAATAAAAGATTGTTTTTTTAAAAAAATTATTAATTTTCTGGAAGGAAGTGAAACAATTTCGATGCAATACAAAATAAAATACACGTTGCATGTTTATTGCAATCTGTTCCAATTTAAAAATTAGAAAGAAAAAGTAACATATAATACCTATCCTGTTACTTAAAAAAGTTACTTACTAAAAATATCTAACATTTGTTGTCGTGTATTTTCTGTCATGGGATACATATGAAATACGAGTGGAAGAACAGAAACCTAGAATACAAACATAAGAATATAGACATTTATTACACATGATACCAGCATATAAGAAAAGGGGTGCGCTGCTTTCCATTCGAGACGGGAATCCATTACATGCGAAAGTCCGACTTCTTTTCCCGAAGAAGATACAACAATGCCTTACTCGGGATTCGAACCCGAACCCACTCGGTTACAAACCGAGGCTCATATCACCATACTGGCTGGGAGGCTATCTATTACTTAAAAGTAATATATACAAAATTTAACACTTATTTTGATAATTTGCACGGTTTATAATTTGGTCGCATTGTAACTTTAGCGTCAAAGTACATTATTATTGCATTCAACACATTGTTATTGTATGGGGGGCGCTGAAAAGCACTGATTTAAGAAAATATTTAGTCTAGCAGAAATTTAAAATCTTCAATTATCTTGTCAAAGGAAACATATTTTATGAGCTTTTCTTAATGTATGCGCTGTAACATTTTCCCGTCACACAGCTGAAAAGTCGGTCTCTTTTTGTGGATATTGTAACCACGTTCCTATGTATTCGTGCACCCTTTAAGTATGTCTTATAAATAAGTATTGTCTTTGGTCATCTCTCGGCAACTTTTGACACCATGAGAACCCCTTACTCCGCCCACGAGCCGAATGTAACTCGAATATTAAGATTCCGACCGCTACCATCCCAAGACCCTGGGGAGGGCAGTGAGACGTCCTTTGGAAACCTTTCAACAGGACAAATATAATCTCCTCCCTCACAAACAACAGAATTTGGACTATAATGAACTAACCAACCTTTTAATAACTTCAATATATATACTGTAATTAATAAATATCACGCTACCATATTATTTTTCTCAAACGTCCCACAGCGCAAGTTTCTCTTATGATGCCATTACTGACTTATATATCGTCCCAATATATATTCCCCAACGCTCAGTTATACAGAGAAAATATTCTTGATTCAATTCATTTTGATCCACTTTAAAACAATCTAAGCATATCCTAAAATTTTCTATTTTAGCATGAACCATAATCCAGTATTTAATGCGAAGCTAATAAGGAAAACAACATTTTTCTTTTTACCCGATGAACTGACACAACTCAATAGCTATTTGTTTCCGTGGCAGATATTTTCCTTTTATTTAGTTAAACTTTATATCATTTTGAAATGCATATTCATCCTAAATTCTTTAGTTAATATTTTATTCTAATTTAAGTATATTTCTCTAAATTTTTAATTCAATAGTTGTAAGTTTGTTTTTTTTTGAGATATAAAATAGAAATGAAAAAACAATGAATGTGTGTGTGTGTGTGTGTGAGAGAGAGAGAGAGATTTCTTATATTTTACAAGGCATTTACTTTCACACATACATAGAGTGTAAAAGCTCGTACGCTTTCATTTATTCTCAGAATAAAGATATATCTATTTTAATAACAGTCTTTTGAGGCGAAGGTTGATATTTTCCTTTTAGAATAAAGACTAAAAAAACAATTCTTGTTTTAAACTTTTTTTTTGTTATCCAAATAAGGACTGTAGTTTATTTTCTCGTTCAATACCTGTTGTTCTCTTTTTCGTTTCACTTAGTTTCCTGTTTCAAAAATCAAGAGTAAAGAACGAATTCTTTAACAACCAGTTTTTTCCATGATGCATAAATTCTGTAACTTTGTATCAACATATGTTTAAGTATCCAGTTTATTTTATTAAAAGATATACATATTTATCTCTCTATATAACTTATGGGTTTTTTCCCTAATTACAAATTCTTACTGCTGATAAAAAAAATTTCTAGATATACATATAAAACATAATTTTTTATATATATTTTGGAAAACAGGAAATCTTTAAAAGTAGTGTGTGAATGTGTGTGTCAGAAAAAAAGGATTTTTAAACAGCGAAACAATGTGTACGGAAACATTTCATTTATGCATGTAATTTTATAGTTAAATAATTACTCTCTTAAGGTATCCGACTAAGTTCGGAACCATGATTTTCAAAAGCGCATAAATGGATAATTTTCATGATATTTAGTGTCACTTAGATTAGAATATATACATAAAATTATTTTAAGGACATTTTGAGAAAAAAAATTTATTTAAATAGAATATTTTGGCAAAAAATTAACTTAGAATAATGTTTTTCCCAAATGTTCTCCTTTTGTGAAAAATGGTTTTATTATAATAATATTTTGCCTGTATCAGACCTCTCTACAGAGGCACAACTAGAAGTTTTGAAAAGTTCACAGTTACCACCAACTGAAATAATTTTTCGCGTTTTTTTCTTAAAATTGCTCTTCTCTTTTGTCGTAAAATATAAATATAAACCCACTTCTAAGTTATATATTTCAAAAATTCTAGTTGAGTCTTTGAACAGAGGTCTGAGCTATATGCAGGCAAAATATTATTCTAATAGAATCATTTTTCGCAAAAGGAGAACATTTGGGAAAAACATTATTCTAAGTTAATTTTTTGCCAAAATATTATATTTAAATAAATTTGTTTTCTCAAAATGTCCTTAAAACAATTTTATGCATGTATTCTAATCTGAGTGACACTAAATATCATGAAAATGATCCATTTTTGCGCTTTTTTAAAATCGCGGTTCCGATTGATTGATTGATTGAATATTAACGTCGCACTGTTCAGTTACACGAGGGCTTTGGGCGACGGACCACGTAATTTTGAACCATGGTTAAGTGACGGGGACGACACCTGAGCTGACACCCACCCTCTCCTAACTACCACACTACACCAACGGGAGGACGTTTCAGCTCTCGACAGATTTAACGTGCATCGCTGCCCTACACAGCGAGTCTTTAGTGGTACTGGGCTCGAATTCATGACATACCTGCCATGGTCCGATACCCTAACCACTGGGCTACCGCAGCCCCATCACGGTTCCTAACGTAGTCGGATACCTTAATACATAATATATACATAAAATAAATTCATATATTTATACATAAAAAATATATAAAGTTGGAAAATCAACTGAAGAGGAAGAGATGCTAAACATTTTTAATCCCTTTTTTTAATTTTAAGAACTGTCCTGTACATGTAAAATAAAATTAATTTTTTTATATAATTCTTAACAACGTAAAAAAAATTGAAATCGATGTATTTAAGTAAAAAACGAACAATGATATTGTATTAAAAACCGACATTTTTATAATTGTTTACTGTATTCTATCAAATCTGATAAGAAAAATAAAAAATAGTTTTGGATAACATGAGAACATTACGAAAATTAATGATGCTTATCTTTTTTTTACGAGAAAAGTTCAATGTAAATCTGTTTGAAATGATAAATGACTCAAGATTATTCCAAAAATAATTCTGCTAAAAAGTACTTAAAGTGTTGGAAAGCTAAAATCTTATTTTTTTTGACAATTTGAGATTTTTACATTTTCAAATTGTATAGATTTTAACCTTTTTAAAAATACCTTACTTTAACCTCTAGGGTATTTAGAAGCCCTTAAAACGTATTTTTAAATAATCGTTGAATTTGGGCCACGCCTATTTTAATGGCGAAAATTGTAAAAATATATACTTTGTTTTTACTTAAAAGTGTAACGACTGATATAAACCAAAACATGTATCTTTTATTTTAAATTGAGCCTTTTATTTTTTTATTTCCTAGCCAATTAGAATCTCATTGTATACATTAAAATCAATTTATCTCAAAATGTAAATTTTAATGTGCGATGTACCTTTTCTGAGACAGGTATGTAAATTTTTTATGAATTATTCATAATGATGTCTAATATATACTAAAATGAGCTTTTTGTAAAAAACTCAAAAATTTAATTTTTACAAATGTTTTAAGTAAAAAATGGGTCAAACTTCGCAATGTTTGATAAAATATTTCATAATTTATTAAAAAATTCAAAATTAGCTAAAAGCTCATTTTAGTATAATGAGAGAGGTGTACTTTAATAGTATGAAAAATTTCAAGCATATACATAAAACAGATTTTGAGTAAAGGTACATCGAAAACAGAGCCAATTTAACATTGTCGGTATAGAGAGAGAGAGAGGTTTCCAACTCCCCTTAATATTCAATATAAACAAGCCCAGCAATAATATAAAAATTATTCTATTACAATACCGTCTAATATTTTGAAATTTATCTTTTATGTAGTTTTAAAACTTCCTTGAAAATCGATACACAAGTATCTTTTCCGAATATCACCCATTCATTCAGACAATAGTCGCGATACGTATTCCATCTTATTTGTAGATCTAATTTTCACTTTAACAAGTGCTTAGTCGATAATTGATACGTTATCTAGACCAGGGATGGCGAACCTGGGGAATGTGTGTCATCAATAGCACGCGACACAATATGTTTGACACGCCAGTGATTAAAATAATTTATTTCAAAATTTCAAAGTTCACTATGAAGTATTACGAACAAACGCGAGTCATCATGAGAACCTAATTTGTTATTGTCTTGCCTTAGTTACGTCGAGGATTACATTTGCTTATGGTCCAAAATTTGTCTTATCAATAGTATAGTCAATTTCATTGACATAACTATATTTTAAAGTTTATTTGTGTTATATTTACGATTTTTAACTTATTTAATATGGCTGTAGTTCAGCAGAAGAGCAAAAATTGCATGATAGTAAGTGTAACAGAGAATTTCAAACTTGGTGAATCTAGAAACATAGCATTTTTAGTAGAGGCGACAAACTGGTGTGTGTGTGTCTTGTTTGGAACATTTATATGGGAACATCATCTGTAAAACGGCAGTCTGAAACAAATCACAAATCTGTATAGAGTCACACTAATGTTACTTTAATTTGAATAACACGTATACTAAAACATTTAAAACTACACAGTACAAAAATTATTTTTTTCGCAGTAAATAATGAGTTTTGAGTTGTTAATATTTAGTTTTATTATTTTTTCAGTAATCACAAGTCAAAATTGTTTGATGGCGCGTCTATTCCTCATTAAACACACACACACACACACACACTTCACATATAAAAAAAATTAAGTCAATTCCTACTTAGATCAACAAAGAAAATTTTTATTTTAGCTACTTTTTATTAAATAGTTACAATTAATATAAATACGTATATACATATGACAGAACTGCAACATTCAGCGGGGATTAATTTTTGTTAATTATCGTTAAAGTATCGTATTGTCATCCAAAACAATCATGGAAATAAAATTTCAGTTCAAATGAATGCTTTAACGCGTGAGAAA